CCAAGAGTATGCGCAGAGCCTCACACACTTGGTTCTGCTACACTGAGGCATTGCCGCTGCCTAGGTAGGGGTGAATAATGCCTTGTTCCAGTTCCATGTTACTCTACCCTATTCCCCCAAACTCCAGCAACCTGAACATTAAAATCCATAGCTGCTCCTTCTCTTGGCTTGCTTGCTTAAGAAGCTGCCCATCCACTGGGTAAGTTTGGTGGCCACTATCATTTGATGGAGGGGACAAGAATAAACAGGGAAGGAATTCTGCAAATGGAAACCAGGAAAAATGGGCAGAGAAGCAAGATTCAAATTAGTGCTTGGGTAAAGGGAAATGTTGTTAAAATTCAGACACTTATCAATAGAGGCAAGAGCCAAGGTGACACTCTGGGCACATGTACCAGCTGACCAACCACCCACTCGTAGCTCAGAACATAAATGTGCAATCACATCTTGCTGATGAAGATCCTCTACTTTTCATTCTTTCGCTTCCGTGAGTCCCCAAAGTTTCATACCTCCCAGTTTATAGGCAATGTCCCACAAATTGCTGGGGATTAGCAGCATCCTGCTGATTTATAGCCTTCAATAAACCCAGACACAGAACAGCTAGGATTTGCACATATGGAGAGCAGCAAATTTGTGCCTAGAAAAATATTTCTCATATTTACTTACTGGACTTGTAACAAAACCTCTTACCTCAGAAAGCAAGTTTTATTAATTGGCTTTGTCCTTTACAGAATGCATCTTGCCTTTTACAGTTTGTTTAGAGATTTTTTTTTAAATTTCCCTCTCTTCTGTAACTATAATTTACCACTAGAAGACACTTTTTTTGTATTTACAGCTGCAATATATTAAAAGGATTAAATAAGCCTTCATTACAAATACACAGGCATGGTGCTTTCTTCCTGCGCTACCTCAGACATTCAATATGCAATAAGAGAAAATAGTAAAAAAATTTGTAATTTTTGGGTAAACAGAAAACTCTCTGTGAAGGCCAAAGTCACAAAATTCTACTTGCTACTAAGTAGAAAGCATTCTTTCATATTGAATAAAAAGGAAACACTTTATTAAATGGTCATTTCTACCCGTAGTAAGGCTAGTCCATCTGGCCTAATGACAATAGAAGGATGAGCATCGGTAATAGGAACTGCTATTCTCGGGCTACAACAGATCCAAAGCTCATAGAAATTAAACAGTAGCTTCAGGCATACACATAGGGTTTGGGCTTTTTTCTGGCCTTTTTCTTGCTGAAGAAGTGACTTTTGGGACACAGAAAGGTCTCAAATCTCCTCTATGAAGAAGTTGTAATTTTTGCTTTCTTCACTCAGAAAGCCTGACATAAAGACAGGAAAGTAAAGAAGTTAGAGAAAGATCAGTCTCTTAAAATATGTATGTGAAGTCACCATAAGCATTACAAAATATGGTCTAATACACTGATGATCAGCAGAACTAACCAGGAAAATTTTTTTCCACCCCATTAGCATTTTTCAAATAAAAGTTTAAGGAACAGCTTTCAGTTGTCAAAAACAATGATAAAAGCTAATGAAAATGCAACACACCTTCTAAATCAGCAATGTTTTCCCCTCCAAAGATTGCTCTTCATCTGGCACGTCATGTGCTGTTAAAATAGTGCAAAAGGAACAAAGGGAAAACTTGAGATCAGTAGCAATGCAGCTGATGTCCTGAAAGGTCTGTTGGTATTTAGAACTAATGGACACAAATAGCTTTAGTGATTACATGTATTATCACTTTACCATCACTGCACATCATCCTATGTTGCTGTTTGACTTGACAACCCTCCCAGGATATTCTGCTCTCACCAGAAGAGATGAGATTGCACATTTACATTTAAAAAAAAAAAAAAAAGATTTAAAGCAGTAAGGATTTTATAAGAGACAGTTGCAATGGCCAGGGATGTATGTTCTCCAGCATGCAAGCCCATCCCTATTGAATGCAACCATCCCCATGCAGCTAACTTCTGCCTCTGACCTCTGCACTCTATGAGACTCTCAGGCTTACTCAGGTTTCAGGGGGTTGTATTAACAGATGACCTTAATGAATTTCTGAAAGACAGCACTGTCAGTCAACTAATTAAGACCCACTTACAGCTGGGTGTGTGAATGCAAGCACTGTGGTCTGCCCTCATGGTTGCGAGCACAGAGGACAGTTCTAGCTGTCCCCACTGCAAGGCACACCACATTTCAGTGCACCTGTAAAGCTGGGGAGGTGGCAACTTTAGATCTGAGACACTTTGTGATAGGTCATTACAAACTGCTCTGTTACACTACCTGCTTTACTGTCTCAGCACTATGCATTGACATTTCCTCATGTACTTGCACAACATGCTCCAGAGCTGGCAGCACCCACATTTCTCCAAATAGCAGGAACCTAATTTTTTCTTTGGAAAATGCTGCATGCCCACCATATGAAAGAACACCACCCCACCACCCAAAAAAACCCCAACCAGCAACAACCTCCCCCATCTAAACCCTTTACAAGGATATGGGAGAATTTCCTAGCCTGGTGATTGCCCATTTTTGCCCACACACTAAATGCAGTAGCTTACACCTTTTTCCACTGCGCTTTCTTGAAAGGAAGAGTATGTACTACAGGAGAGCCAGCTCATCCTATAACTGCGCTTCCCACGGATCACCTTGTAGTTACATGTTCCTATGCCATTGTCCTCAGGTGCTTAATTGGGAAACACCTGGCTTGGCCTAATTCTCACAGCACCAAGATAAGAACAATAAATATTTATAACTCCACTAAGCAGAAAGGAGAACGGTTTGTGCGACTTGCTCCAGGCTTACAGCCTGACTCAGTCACAGGGACAGGATTAAGTTTTAGGAGTTCCCCACTCCCAGGTCTATGGTCAGCTTACCAGCCTGTGCGTCGTCAGGATCGTTGCCTTATGCCACGCTGCAGAAGAATGGTGAAACACAGCTTTCTGTGCTGTTATGATTCACCTAATCTTTTCAGATTTTTTAGGTACAACAGATCAGTAACATAAACTTTATGGAGAGCTTTCTTTTGTTAAGCAACCAGTTCCCACCTTTAATGTTTCACCAAAAGCTTGGTTGGTTTTCTGGTTCAAGCCTGCAGACTGCTTAAGTTTCGTATCATGTATTTTTAGTGCCTTTCAGGGCTAAAAGCTATGAAACAGCAAAGCATACAGAAAATCAAACCCTCCCTTTCCTCATGTAACAAAGAAAATCCTCAGCATCAGCAGACAGAAGAGCTTTTTGTAGATGTCCATGTAAGTCACGGGAATGACTTACAAGGCTTTGACCCAGCATATCCACATAGCAGTCCATCACTGACATGGCAAAGATTTTAGCTTTGCCTATGTGAGAAGGGATTAGCTTCATTTTTCTATTTCAAAATTGACTGAATAGCAATTGATCCAGTTATCTGGATCTATGTGCTGACAACAATCTATGTACAAATCTATCTACAGAAAGATTTTATATTAATAAAGTGTAATTCATTACCTGCTTTTCTTCCAAACTTATCTGCAATGCTTCCCACAAGTTTTGATTAATTGCCATGAGTACATGTACAAAATAATTTATTCTCACATTTACTAATTAGCTTTAGTCCCAATACACACAAGAATCAGATTCCTTGTGTCTTGCTCAGCCATTATTCCACTTTATCCCTTGTTGCTGGTATGTAAAAATGAACATACATTTTCTTCTGTGCATACATGCTACAACACTAACATCACTCTAGTCTAACACACCAGCAGCTTTTAAATATGGCATTCATGGCATGACAACATCTTAGTGTTTGCTTCAAGATGGGATTTACTGTGAAGTCAAATAAAGTTTACCTTAACATCTGAACACCAAAAACTAATCTAGACTAAATGGGAGCACTCAAATCATCTGCCTTAAGACTCTTGTGGACAGTGAGACTTTTAACACATTAGAATTACAGTTTTTGACTAAAAGGGAAACTTGTGACTGATGTGCAACATGAGAAGAGATGCAGTACTATGTGGTGGCAGAGTTCATGCAGAGGGCTATGCAGATGTCTATCAGCAATGTCATAAAAATGCAAGAATCAGTACTTTCCTCCCCAGTACATCCTCCTGAAACAGAGAATTGATCTTCAAGAAAGCTGCAGACCCCAAGACCCCAAGAACATTTACTGTGACTTTTGAGAACCAGCAGAACATCAGCCTGACCTGGAGAGCTCGATGCTCCGGTCAAACCCTACTGCTCTGTAATGCTCTGGGACCACCCAGTTGGGTTCATCTTGTCGATAGGAATACACAAAGGGAAAACTCTCCTCTTCCCTCAAAGAACAGTGGTTCTACTTCACCCCTCAAAAACTCCACCGTAAAAAATAAAGAGTGTTGCTTGAGTACTGCTGTATCACAGTGCCCTGTGATTGCCATCTGGCTCCTTGGGTTGCCTTATTTATAGAATGGATTTTGATTTATAACCCCCATATTTTTTTCTGTTTTGTAACAAACATGGCCCAACCAGTATAAGCAGTCTAGCTCCAGGATGTTCAGAGGTCTCTTGCCCAACAAGTTCAAATACATGGCTCCATCTTCTGTACAAGAAATGAGCAATTCAGGCAACACTTAAAAATAAATACTTACAGCACTTGGAAAATTAGTAAGTTCCTGATTCAAAGGAGGATTACAAAGAAAAAAAAAAAGAAAAAAAATACTCACTACACATTCCCATTGCAGAAAGTTTTACAACCACTGTTTCACACCATGCTCCCAATATTCTCCAATGACTGAGAAGGAACAGTATAACGAAGAAACCCTCATCTAGGTACTTTTAGTAAGAATCTGGCCAGAAGTCTTTTTAAAGAGACTGCCATATATCCTAATTGCTTTTTATGAGACAATGAGAAGCTCTACAGTTATCGTGTATTTTGATCTTCACCGATACCTAAAAGCTGCAGGAAATTACATACTGTGCTGTACCTGCTGTAAGCTTATCTTTTCTATCCTGTTATTAACAATTCTCCTTTTTGAACTTGTAGTGTCTCCTACTCCAGCCACCAGAATGGAAGAAAATGCCAACACCAGCTTTGAAGAAGATTTTGAAGGGCAGGCGACACACACAGGCAAGGAAACTAACTGCATTATTTTTTTTTCTAAAAATAAGATAAACCATCCCTGTTCACTGGGGAAGCCCAGAATTCGAGTAGATCCCATTGGTTTGACAAACCCCTTGCACAGAAACATAGGCTCCAAAGCCAATGAGAATGTATTTTGGAGTAAGTGACACCCCTCATGGAAGGGCAGGTAACACCAAACTGATCTTTGTGCCAATCCTCCTCATGCCTGAAGCAAATGGCAAACGTAGAAGACACCTGAAGAAGCCACTAACAGCAATGGTCCAGTACAACTCTTGTTGGTTTATTGCTTCAGTCACGAACAATGGCCTTTCTTCCTCTGGGGAAAAGAGAAGAAAACAAAATAGCAACAAAAAGCATACTCTCATGCTAGAATTAGGTTACAAGGTTTCACTATAAAGGCTCAATTATTTTTTCCTTCTTATAGAAGGAACACCCAGTGCTAAAAGTGTACCTATAAATCCTTCTGGCAAACACCGCATAACATTTAAAAGCTTTAAAAGCATCCTTGCTCAGAATCACAATTCTTTTTAATCCAGCACTCAATCACCATGATTTTTATGAGGACTGACATTGTATTCAGCTCTACAGACAGGTATCGCTTCATCCCACCCCACCAACAAGTAACTATATGGCAATCATTCCCTCTCTGTGCTCCAAGGACTTCTTTTTCTTTGTGCTATAATAAATGTAGCTCTCGTAATAACTCTTTTTGGGATTCTTTCCCAACCAGCCTTGCTACTGTCAACTAAGATTATTATATATATTTTTTTTTAGTGACTCAAATGTAGGGTGCTACATCCACACCTAACCTTCAAAATAGTTTTGGAAATTAGGCTACTGCATGCTTCATCGCTATTGCTATGCCAAGAGGTTCAGGCTAATTCCTGCTTTGAAATCTTGTTCACAAAAGATCAGTTCACCTTCCCTTTCCACCGATGGGTGTAGTGCCTTGAGCCACCACTTCCAAGATGTTGAAATTTAATCCAAAACAGACTCTTGGCAGCTGGCAACACCACATCTCTCTCATGAGAGGGAAAGATGCTTACCTAGCCTTTCCTAAATTTCCTAAACTTCACCTCTGAAAACACTAAAAAATTCCTTGGTTTTGCTTTATAATCTGAGATGCAGATTAAAATGTTTGATTTTGAAAAGCACCACTGTAATTTTGAATTGAGAAGACCTTTCCCCCCCATTCCAAAATTTAACTGTATTAATCAACCAGCTCCAATGAGCAAGATCTGTGTTACAATCACAATTATCATAGCATTGCCTTAGAGGTTATTCTTCCAGTGGAACAGGTATGGGTTTAAAAAAAAAAAAAACCCACCCACAAAAAACCTAAAAAAACCCCCCCAAAAACCCAAGAAAGCAACCCTCAAGTGTCCTGTATTCTTAGTTTTACTGTCAATATCTTAAAATAGTCCTTATGCATCTTATGTATTCAAAGACACTGTCTACAGAGAAATGCAAATGTACTTGTAAGAAACACTAGCTTTGGCCAAAATGTCAGTTTTAACAGGTTTCATCATCCTCATCCTTGTTAACTACTCGTATAGTTCACCAAAATCCTTTTACAGGTTCCTGATATGAACCAGACCACTGAAGTGATCCAGGTTAGAAATAAAACTCTGTCTTTCTGTTGGAGGCTGATGTAGCACATTGGTCCCACAGCTCTGGTTTTCAGCTCTCCTGGAGAGAGCTCTGGACGGAAGAGGGGTAGATGGATAAACTGCGGCACAGACGGACAAACCAGCAAAGGGCAGAAACTTCTTAAGACAGTTTCTTGTTGAGCCAGTTTCTCACCTAACTTCATCCCTCTTAGGGCCCAAAGGCGTGATCAATGACTGGAGGAAGTTTAAATTAGAAAGCGAAGACGGAGACTCCTTATCCTTGAGCAAGAAAGAAATTCTTAGACAAATGTCTTCACCACACAGATCTTTCAGTAAATGTGATAAAGACACCAGAGAGAGATTCTGCCGTAAGGTGAGAAAAGCAAAATAAATTAATTTTGATTCTATATAAAACAACAGTTATATGCTAGAAAACCTTGAATTTGCCAGACTCAATTCCTTTGCAGCTTCGCAGAGTTCAAACAATATGGATAGAACAAATGCACATCCAACCATCTATCTAGTCTTCTCACAAGCAAAGTCTAACTTCAGTAAAATAAGCAGTATATTTCACAACAACATACCACACAACAGAGTTTGACCTTTCTTCCTCCATTCCCTACCTTGATGCTCTATCCTTGGTTAAGGCAACTGAAAATTTTTAACATGCTTAAACCCCTGCTGGTCAGGATAGAGCTCTGAGCCTGAATGTCACTCATTACCATTTACCAGTTCTGAAAGGGGGGGGACCCAAACCCCAAAAACCCACAGGTATTAAACTTTGCTCCCACTACAGTCACTGGCAAAATTCCCACCAACTCTGGAAAATCCAGAATTTTTTGTCAAATGTGTCAACTGCCTTCAATACCATTAAGTTGACATGCAAGTGTGGAGACAGGATCTTCACCTGTCTCTAAGAGACCTTCCAGTGTCACTGTAAGAAGTGACTGCTCTTCTGGCTAAGCTTTTGATGCAATGTTCTTTAGACAACAACTTAGTCTCTTCCTGTTTCAGCGCCAACAGATGACCACTTACTAATATAACACTGTCTCAATATTCACAGATGAGCATGAAGGAGTATGAATTAATTCATGATGAGCAAGAAGACGAAAGTTGCCTACAAAAATACCGCAAACGCTGCATGCAGGATATGCACCAGAGGCTGAGTTTTGGGGCGAAATATGGTTATCTGTGTGAGCTGCAGAATGGGGAACAGTTCCTGGAAGCCATCGAGAAAGAGCGTAAAACTACCACCGTCATCGTCCACATTTATGAAGATGGCATCAAGGGCTGCGATGCTCTCAATAACAGCTTGACCTGCCTGGCGGCCGAGTACACCAATGTGAAGTTCTGCAAGATCAAGGCCTCCAACACGGGGGCTGGAGACCGCTTCTCAAACGAAGTGCTTCCCACCCTACTTGTCTATAAGGGTGGGGAGCTTCTAAGCAATTTCATTAGCATTTCTGAACAATTCAGTGAGGATTTTTTTGCTGTGGATGTGGAGTCTTTCCTAAATGAGTATGGGTTGCTACCTGAAAGGGAGCTTCCAGCACTGGGAAATGGCACCACAGATGAGCAAGATATTGAGTAATTAGCCATAGTCCTCACTGCCTCCCTTTCCTCTTCAGTACGTTGTAAATCAATCTCAGTAACACCCATCTCATTTAGAGAAGGCTGTCTTTGCTAACTTATTTGTAAGATACACATATATAAACATTGCTTAAGTGTTAGTATGTGAATTTTACTTAAAACACATACAACTGGCAGTCCTGCACATAATTATTCTATGCCAGCCACAAGTAATAGGAAGAACAGGAGACGATAGTGGTGATCTCTAAGAAATTAAGGGAAAAGAAATAAAATTAAAAATCAAGGGCCCATGCACGTCTCCATTAAGCACAGGAAGAACTTAATTTCAACAGGAACAGGACTGATCCATCCCTCTGCATACGTAAAAAGCCATCTCCGTGCTCTGGAATTATGGCGAGTCCTGGGTCCTCAGATTCACTTCTACCGACTTCAGTAGAACAAGATTTCATCCAGCAGTTTTAAGGACAAATAGCTCAATGCCCTTACATTCCTAAATGGCTTAGATATCTAGGATATTATTTTACGCTTCTGCATTTAACTTGCAATATTCATGAAAAGCCACAAGTTAGCTCAGTGCTTCTGTAAGTTTGTCATCCAAACAGCTAACACAGACACATTATCAGCTAATTTCAGTTCATTGTCGCTCCATATTTTGAACAGTAATATTTTAAAAGTCTGCAAGTTACTGAAAAAGTATATTGTGGTTATGTAATAACTCTGAATAAAGCTTAACAGCTCTTAAAACCTGCCATTGGAAGTATGAAATATATTGGTAGAAATATATATAACCTCAACCTTAAAAACATGTGAAATATTAGTAAGCACTCATTAGACTAAACTAAACTCAAAGTTTAAAGTTTTGCTAAAGGAATGCTGCTGAGAACTACAGTTTAACAATCCGTCTGAGAAAAAGACACAAAGGTAAACTCACTATAAACCTTCCTCCCTCTCTCTCTGCAGGTGTAAAAAAAATCCACGTCCTTCAGTTCTGACACAAGACAACAAAGCATTAGAAACATTTCAATGACTTCTTTTGCACACTGGCAAAGTTGAAGGCTGAATTTTACTCTGAGGACAGAAATATCTGTATCTTAACTGCACTCAATTTTGCTGATAAAGATTTTTTTCAGTACTCATAGGACTCACCAGTTTTTATTTGATTAGACAGTTTCACGTTTTGCTCACTTTGGAGTGCGAGCTTTCAGTTTTGCTTTGGGTCAGGATCCCATCACAAAAATGTCACTCTGCAAAATTCTGCACATAGGTCAGTAAGAATTCAGAATTGAGTGACCAGTATCAAGCAACCATTACTGCAGTGACATAACCCAGACATTAAAAGCAGATTCTTATCACTGTTTTAAACACATTCTTTTCATTCACATGGAAAATTCACATGGGTAGCTGAAAGTTACAAGACTGTCATAAGTTTTTCTGACAAAACTCCAAGTGAATAAAGCTTTTCCCTTAGAGCAGTCATTTGTCCTCTTACTCAAGCATGATGTTTACCTCTCAGCTAAAATCACCTTCATCTTAACATTCCATTTGCATCAGAAGGTCAACTCTTCAGAAAGCTACCATTTGCAGATATACCTAACATTACGAAAATCTCATGATCTTATAACAGGTTATGTAGAAAACAGTGAATTATCTTCTGTAACAAAACTAACCAGCTCCTTGAGTAGTGGGACAATATTTGTCTTGTATTTTTTGATTATATGTTTTAAAGAACAGGCATGAAAAATGTCTGTCCTCTACACACCAGAAAATCTCCACGTAACTGGTGGGAACTTAACATTTTTGAGAACTTTCCCTCTTGTCAAAGTTGGTTCAAAAGTTATTAGGCTGCACATCAGCAGCCTGATCACGTAAGCTTCATTTCTTTGAGAAACCAGGCTGAAAGCAAAAAACCCCTAACAAACAATAACCAGAACAGAAACTACATTTACGCCTAGTCGTAAGAAATAAGCTGACACTCCAATTTAAGAGACAGATTAAGTATGCTTAAGTAGGATTTCCTTCAACCTGTAATTAAAAAAAAAAAAACCAAACCAAAAAGGAAACACAAATGTGATGCCAAGCCCCAACAGAAGCTCATGACTAATGAAGTTGCAAATGAAGCTCTGATCACAGCAGTCATCCATATTTCTGCAGGGAAAAAAAAAAAACCTTAAAATTAATCTCATTTTCTGGATAGCACTCAACCTCCCCCAGAATCAACTGCTTCTGCATAATGCCATGTTGCCTATTGATTCCACCCATTTGCACAGAATAAAAGCATCTATAAAACATGTAGCAGCTAAAAACAGTGCCTCCATTACAACATTCACTTTCCTCTGAGAGGCCCTACTTGAGCAATACTGAGCACAAAAGAGCAACACTATGTTCCAAAATGTAGTTACAATACTAAAACTAGATCTTTTCCAAACATGTAAAAACAGAATACACAGATGAGGCAACAGTATTTAAGACATCTTTCTCACGGTTGCCTTTTATTAAAAGTATCCCGGTACATCCTTGATTATGCTTTAGAATTGAAGCGTTTATATTTTTTCTTAGTGTTCCAGTGCCTTTATACAAAAAAAGAAATTTGCAGCGGTATTAAAATGCCCTAAAATCTGGAATTCTTTTCTATTGTAGGTCAGATCCAAGTAAACATCCCATTTCATATATGAATTATCTTTATTAACCTTACTAGAATTCTTCCCTCCTTCTGCTCTCCACATGGCAAGGAAATAGTAGTGTTATCGCCTAAAAGATACCCAGGAGAATATCTCATAATGGAAAGCTATCTGTTTATTAGCAAACAATTTTGACAACTTGCATGTTGTCATAATCCATATAATCCATAATCCAGATAATCCATAAGGGCTGCCTAGATGCAGGGGTTGCTGAAATAGTTAATATTCCAAGAGAATGATGACTGAATCAGAGCTGGACAGAGAAATCCCCGAGAGTCACTGAGTAAAAGGTGGCATATACACCTCTCAAAATTGCATTTTATTGATTTCTGAGTTCTCCAGGTCTTGAACTGAGGTATTTACATGCTGAATTGGTCTAGTCTTGAAACTACTAGAAAATATTTGTACACCTATTACGCTAGTTAACCAATATTACATAATACAATGCATATGGTGAAATATTTGCTTCATTAAATCTAGTTTTTCCCCAATTAACTTTAATGAAATCAGATTTCTCTTAGCAAAGGAACCCTTAAAGCAAGAATTGCTTAGGTAACTATGCTAGGCTTACCAATAGCCTGAAAAACACCAGTAGTAGCATTTTCCATTAAAACAGCAAGTAGGAAGAAAATGAAGGTTCTACATTTGTTTAAGGGATCTTTCTAGAAAATAATACTATCATTTATTTATACAGAATGACAGGGCTAGTTTCTTGTAAAGTTGATTCACCGCCTACTTGATACTGTAACCGCATGATTCTACTTGATACAGTAAGTGCATGCTGGAACAAGGTAACTGAACCTATCATTACAATTTATATTGCACATCTAACTAGTGATATGTAGGCAACAATTCCTAATTACAAATATATTAAACCCAGGTGTTTCCATCTTGTAACTGGCCAATACTTCCATGAAGCTCCGGTTGCTTGAGTTTAATCACTGAAGTAATTGAAAGAGAAGATCGATGCAAAGACTGCGACAGCAGCTGCTATTACCACACCTAAAATAACAAAGGAAATGCATTCAGTGAGTGGCAAGGGCAGCACAGCCATCAGCAGCTAGGGTGTGGAGGGCAGGGTCAAGGTGAATGACAAGCAGGAGGAGAAACAATAAGAGCCATTCCAAAACTATCTACCACTAAGCCTAAATCTAAAGCTACAATGTCAGATAATTAAATTATAAAAGCTCCACATGACATTTCTAATCATAGTAGGGCCCTTCCAGAAACTGAGTTGACTGCATACTTTTGTAGTACCTTAGTCATGTCCTGGCCCATAAAATAATGCACTGACTCTGCACTACTGTTTAATTCTAGGAATCAGACTAGGAACAGTAACAAAAATTTTAAGCTTTAAGAAACAAAAGCTATTAAGTTTTTTCTTTTCTGTGTGGCACTACATCTACTCCATAAATCTCTTTGTAGCACAACAGTCATTTTCCTATTTACATGCTTGTTACTGATGCAGTTCAGAAAATGACACACAAAAAAACCCCCAAAACAACTGAGGGATGATTCAAGGGAAAACATTTTTACATCCAAAGCAAACATATATTTAATGCTACTACTCTTTAATCCTCCAGTTACAATGTTGTTCTACTAAGAATTAATAGAAAACAAAAGCTACTGTTTTGTTGACTAAAGTATAACTGTATTTTAATACAAAAAGACAGTCAAAACTCACAGCAGAGAACTGTACTAAGTGCAGACAGATATATGAGTGCTGGACGAAGGAGTACCATGGAGAAGTTTTATTTGAAAGACTTCTGTGGCTGGTGTTCCCTGAATTACTGAGGCTGACAATTAGGACCCAAGCCCATATGTATTTGTCAGCTTCAGAAGAAGATTAGTGAGTCACTAGCTGATTTATGGATGCCTACTTGATAAAGCCATTCAGCTGTGGTTTTTTTTTTTTTTTAATTACAGAGTTATAGAAGCGGTGGCTCCCCAAAAAAGAAATAAAGCTACATGAGCCTTTTGTATTGACTTGCAGGCTGAACAAATGTAGGTTTTGTTCCAACAGCAGGCTGTGGTTCTTTCTTCCCCAGAAACACCCTGCACCTACAACACTGGCTCATTTTAGAAAAGCATTGTATTAATCTCACCAGTTTATTAATAATGTGGAAGCTAACAGTACTGCAAGGGCCCATTATGGCTTCCGGATTGCCATAGCAAAACCAGGGAAGTAACATACCCATATTTTGTTGAAGTTTCAACAGCAATGTTGCTTTTATCAGTTGTTTCTGTTGTGTGTCATCCATGTTGTCAGTAACTGGACAAATATTAACTGCGTGGAAATCAAGTGAAGTAGTAAATACCAGGT